TTTTTTTTTTTTTTTTTTTTTTTTTTTTTTTTTTTTTTTTTTTTTTTTTGCATGGTTTGAACTCTCTGTGTCCTTTCTTTAGCGTTTGCTTCTCCATTTTTTTTTTAATTTTTTTTTGCATGGTTTCAACCCCCGCCCAGGCTGCTAACATAAACGCTCTCGAGTTGTGCTTAGTGGCTCCCACCACACTGCTCGCGTGGGGCACCTCCTGACTCCTGGGACTTTTTGCAAGGACATCGTACAGGAGCGAACGGTTGGGGAAGAAAGAAAGGAAGTCCAGGCGGAGACCTTGCGGGCAGTAGTGGAACAGTGCGGGAGTGGGTCACACATGGACAAAAGAATGGGCCATGGGCTGGGTGTGCTGGAGATGTTGGCGGAGTAATGAGGGAGGGGATGCGGAACGGGGTTTGTACTTCGTAGCAGCCCTCACTCTCCCCCCCCCCCCCCCCCATAAGTAGTAACCCGTCTGATTTATTGTGAAAAGGCAAGCCCTGTGAGACTAGTTCGGATCGGACCTCTGCAGGGAAAGCCCTTTTCTTCAACCGTCTAGTTGATTGGACGAATTGTTCGTACGTCAAAAATATCACGGTATTTCGTTCATGAATTCACAGGAAAGAAAATACGGACTTGCGGGCACCTCAGAGGTCCCCATAAAACGTATCCACCTGCAGCCCAGCAGGTCGCTGACAAATGTGTCCCATTTGCGATTCAGTGTCCTCTCGGGCAGCTGTGTGACTGCACACGCCACAAACTTTGCAATTTTGTGACTATACATAGCAGCACGAGTATATGCCCTGGGATGCGCCCATTTGTGGTTGGGAAAAGAGGAAAACAAACGCTCGAGAGAATTACGAGTGTCCATTTCAACCTCCTCTGCGTATAGCAGCGCGAGTATATGCCCTGGGATGCGCCCATTGGTGGTTGGGAAAAAAGGAAAACAAACGCTCGAGAGAATTACGAGTGTCAATTTCAACCTCCTCTGCGTATCTGGGCACAATTGCGACATTCAACAGATGGATACTTCTGTCCAGACACAGTCGTTGGCAAGTCACTGCAAGAGAATACTACAACAGACACTCTTTGCTCTTTTTTTTTTCCTTCTTTCTTGGGGGGGGCACGGAATGAAGTGCCGAGCGTAGCGACTTGGCATGACATTCACACCTGCGAGAAATGTATCTTGCCATCTTCTCCCACAAGAATCACTCGTTTCTTTTCCGTTCCATTCTGTATGTTGTGCAGTGAGGGCTGACAATGCTTCCCAAGATCGCATCATACCAATTTCACAGACGATGCGATTTGCAACAGTCCTGGTGCTGATGCAGGGAGGTCTTGTCTTTTTCCACAACTACTCTTTTTTTACTGTCTGGTGCTGACACAGTTCTTGCCTTTCTTTTCTTTAAAAAAAGAAAAACACAGCATGGGGGGCACCGGTCTGGTTGCTTGTCACCGACAAGCATGTTGTACAAACAACGAGGAGGAAAAGACAAGAAAGAGAAAGGAACAGCCATATACCCTTGTGGCACGAGCCGCCTGAGCAAAGGGGAGCTGCTACGGACCACCGCAGCCCCAACCCATAGCCCCACCTCAGAGATTTGCCTTGCAGGCTGGGAGGCTTGCTGGCAGCACCCAGGCACGGAGCAGGGCAATCCCAAGGAAGGCAGGGCATCGGTGGGGTTGTGTGTGTGTGTGGGGTGGGGGGGGGGGCTCCCGACGGTCCCTCGGCCGCTCGTCTCCCACACCATCATCCCCAACCTTTTCAACCATTGTTCCCAAAAGCAACCTTTATGTCTCTCATTAGCCCTCAACTCCTTGTTTTAGCCTGTCTACTGGTCTATTTCCATCAGTTTCATATCTACACTATCCCCGTCATTCCCAAAACTATTCTCTAGGTATATTCCTTGTTCAAACTCTAATATTTCTTTCACAGCTGTTCATTTTTCCCGCCCTCTCCTCTGCTTTTATGTTTGTGGTTGCTTGACCCCTTTTCCTCGGTGCTGGGCATGTCGAACCACCCTGCACCCAAGCCCAGACCAACACTCTGACAGTCATCCTAAAATTTGCCTGGGCGGGGTATTGGCGGTTTAGACCGCCAGCACACGCCCCCGCCCCAAGTCAACTTCACTCACTCCTAAAGTTTCGAAGCTCATAGCCCCAGCCACAATGGCAGGCAGCACCAACCAAGAAAGGAAACAACTGCACCGCTGGTGGTTCGACAAACCTCGGTACGCATTGCAAGCCCGACAGGCTCGAGCGTATTGGTGGTTTTGCTCTGCCGTCCTAGGCTACCGGAGTCGCCGGGACCACTCACCCGGCAGGTCCCAGCACGACAAAAAAAAATAAAAATAAAAATAAATCTATTTTTAATTTCGGCAACAATTTCGTGTTTTTTTTTTCCCATGCTGGGACCTACCGGCCAGGCCGCCAGGGGAAAAAGGGTGGGACCCGAGCGGCCTACAGTCTTCGGCCGAACATAACGCACACTAAAAATAAATGTATACAAGGTATATTTCCGGCCAGATACAGCCAAAATAAGGGTGCTTTCTGTTCGGGGGAGGACGGTAGCCGCTGTGTCAATTTCTTCAATCATTTCCCAAAAAAAAAAAAAAAAAAAATTCTTCAATCAGCTAGTATGCAAAAGGTGCAGTGTTAACCTTAAGCATGGCCTGCTGTCGTTGATGCATGGATGCTGCACCCAAAGTGGGGCCAGGTTCAGGAAAGAAGTTCCAGCTGTAGCTTACACAATGTTCCCCAAAAACAAAAAAAAGCTCCCATCAACGTTTACTTGCGTCCAGAGTCTATAGCCATGCACACTGTTTTAGTACACACGCAGCTATGAGCTTTCTAACAGTACCCGGTTTTATGAATTCGCGAGAGAAGAAGGGCACTGCTGCGCATCAACTGGAGATCAATGATTTTTTAAATCAATGATTTTTCAAATCAATTGTGTACAAGTCCTTGGCAAATGGGTGGCCATGATTTCTATCTATCCTACAAGTGTTGCAAGGGAAATCTGCACCACGTGCCAGATGATCGACAGTCAGTTGGGGGGATATTGGCTTTTGACTGTCAAGTTTAAAATTTAAACGACTCCCAAACAGTGGCAAACACTCTTGAAGAACTGTGTATTGGCCAAAAAGATACTAGAAAATCATGAAAATGTCAAATGCATATATGCCCTCAAGCGCAGAAAAGGAAAGAACCAAGTTCAACAAACTCACCTTCCGAGTTCATCGAAACAAGGAGAGCTGGAGCACCATGTTCAGGTTTTCCTTGTAATTTCATCAATATGACACAAAGGCACAAAGACTGATGTGAGTCCAGTGGATAGTTGCACAGAATGGGGTCAGGTTCAGGTTTTCTTTGTAATACCATCAACGCTGGACAAGCAGAGCTCCAACCAGGCCGGCCAAGCCAGGGACAGCTCTGCACCGCTCCTGCAATGTACGCGAAGTTGCAACTACCTTCCTCCCCCGAATACAATGTACGGTCATTATAGTAGCTGTATTTAGACTGAAAGATACCACAAATACAGCTATAACGACCATACGTTGTATTCAGGGGAAGAAGGTATCAACCTCTTGTCATACTTTGTGCCTCTGTTCTCAAACCCACTTCATCCCCCCTCCTGGTATATTTGAGTCATGCACAACCTTGGCCCAATCCCAGTGATCTTGTCGATCGTGCCCAGCAAAATGTGGTCATCATCTTCATTGCCTGCAAAAGCCAAAGACTTTTCATCTTTCCCTCCAATGCAAATCCCTCCCCCACCCCNACCCCAATGCAAACCCCTCCCGCACCCTCAGTGCCCGGCAAAATGTGGTCATCGTCTTCGTTGTGCCTGCAAAAGCCAAAGCCCTTCCCCTTCGTCTCACACACAACCCAACACAGCAGTGGATCTACCTGGCGCCAGTCAGCACATCCCTTTTCATGTGCCTGCAAAAGCCAAAGCCCTTCCCATTCCTCTAACACACAACCCAACACAGCGGTGAATATATACCCCACGCCAGTCGGCACATCCCTTTTCATGTGCCTGCAAAAGCCAAAGCTCACACACAACCCAACACAGCGGTGGATATACCCCACGCCAGTCGGCACATCCCTTTTCATCACCCTTTGTCAACACCAGCAACCACAACAGCCACGCTCTCACGACACATCCAGTCTCACATACAACATGCACCTATCCCACCACAGTTCGCACACGTATCTCTCACCACCCATTCGCCGCATTAGCAAACTCGCACAACCTGCTCTCGGACATACATTGAGCTCCTGCAAATGTAAGATAGGTTTCCACAACTTTCCAGCCACACAGTAATCTCAACCGGGACCACACTCGTACTAGCTCGGAAATGCATCCAGCTTATTCTTGATTCGCAAATGGAGTAAATGACAGGAAGAGGGAAAAAGTCCGAAAAACAAAAGGTGCTTTCGTAGTGTGCCTGGAAGCTGTCGCATGACACAAGAAAGAACAAAAAGACTCTGAAGAGCAAATTAGGAATAGAACTTCCCTTAACGTCGTCATCAGGGGAAAAAATGAAGGTGCACAAATGAAGGCCATATCTGCATCCTGCATAATACCACATCAGCAGTCTGCTTCGCTAAAAATATAAAACCCTAAATGCACTAAACACGAAGGAAGTCCAACAAGCGGGAAAAGTTGAAAAACAAAAAAGAGAGAGAGAGAGAAAAGAAACAGTACAATTGCAAGCACCACTCTCCTTCCCAGATATACTACGATGGAATAAATGCAATGTCCACAACACTACCCACAGACAGTGACAACAACACTTTCCTCTAAGTGTAGAGCCATGCTTCATCCACAGCTCTCTTGATTCAGAGATCTTTACTTGGTCAATCAATCAAGCTTGGCACCAGAGTACAGGAGGCTGTCTCGAGTGGTCGGCATGTAGCAGAGACAGCACAACTGCAGACAGACAACGAAACACCCAAACCAACAGTACATTCATGTCAGCAAACGGACCGTCACATCAACAGAACAAGCACAAATGCCATTCTTTTAAAACTCAAATTGGTCATATAAATGATATAATCATATTCCTTGCGGTCTTCTGCATGTTCTCAAGTCTACTGTCTTCACTCGAATAGAATGTCCAGTCATTATCGCTGTATTTGGGCCGACTTCTTGTCTAGATGGTAGTCGGTGCTACCTGACAGCACCCGAAACAGCAACAGACTAATACATTGAGATCGGCAACCGAAAGAGCAACAACGGCGGACAACTGAGAGCTGAGCAAAAGAGAGAGCTTGGCAGCAGAGAGCAAATTACAAGAGGCTGCTGGAAGGAGAAGCCAACAAGAACAAGCATACTTTTCAACGGTGTGTGCACAGCCGCTGTTAGAAAAGGTTTTGCACGAGCTATAGACAATGTTTATGTTGTCAGTCTGTCAGAACAGATTTTGCAGCAAACGAGCATTGTTTCATACTCTTCAGGGGACTCTTCAGGGGCAGAAGGTCAGAAAATAAGCATGCATGCACACGTACGTGGTGATAAAGGGCCTTGCTCCACTACTCAATATGGGACATGCATTCGAGTGGCGTTACTGATGGGATTGTCAGTGCTTTCCTGTCAGGTGCATTTGGAGGAGTTCAACATTTTTAATGTATCGGGCTGAGTATGAGCTCAGGTACGTAGTGTTGTGGAGAGGAGTGAGGCCCAAACAATCACCTCACCGACATACAATATGCATAATCAGATTCCCGCAGCAGGAATGTAACTTCAAAGGCAGATTTAACGCGCACATCCCTTTTTAGGACTCACTACCAAACATCGCATACAGACAGACAGGCAGACAGGTAGATAGACAAAATAGACAAACAGATAGAAAACAGACAAGACAGAAAGGCAGACAGAAACGTAACACACAGACAGGTGGGCAGACAGGTGGGCATACAGGTAGATAGACAGATAGATAGACAGATAGACAAACAGATAGCAAATAGACAAGAAAAAAAGACAGACAGAAAGACTGACAGAAAGACAGACAGATACATAGACAGAGGAACAGACAGATAGATAGACAGACAAACGGACATAGATAGACAGCCAGATAAAACAGATAGACAGGCAGATAGACAAGACAGACAGGCTGGCAGGTAGGCGGGTGGGAAGACCAACAATCGGCTGGACGGAAGCATGTAGCAACCAGCCGGCAGTCAGGTGGACGGGCAGGCGCAGCGCATGGATGGCAAATAGGGGGCAAGACAAGAGGAGGACACATGGATCGGTGGAGGGACCAATGGACGCCTGCGTAAACACACAGACAGCCAGACAGACATAAAGAGGGAGACAAAGGCAGGGTTGAGAGGGAGAGAGAAATAGCCCGACAGACACAGACATATGAAACAGAGTACAAGGACAGGCAAGATGCAAGGACTCTAAAGCGAGTGATAACCTACCCCAAGAAGCACACCAATGAGCACGATGATGCCAGTAGTCCACGCCACAGCTCGACGAACAAGCATCGTTGCAGCAATCACATCTGCAGGATAACCTCGTAGCAGTTCCCGACGCAAATCCTGAATCGCATTCATAGATTTTCCGTGCATGTCCCCGGCATTATCACCAAGGAATGCAATTTGAACTGTAGCCTTCCCTGGAGATTTCACCCATTGAAAAACGTAAATAAATTAATTTAGTTAAACAACAGAATTAGCAACATCCAAGTGCACAAGCCCTGTCACAAGAAACTGGTGGAATGCTATTAAGATCTGTCACAATAGCATGTGACATCAACCCATGTGACGACAGCACATACGCATTTGTGCTCTCTGCTTGTACACGACTACCTGGATATCTGTGTGATTTCGCGACTTGGTTTTCTGTATATCATTCTCACTCATATTCCTTGCACTTGGAAAGTAGCCAGGATCATAACAAGAAGAAGAATCAATCTCCTCTCTCTCTCTCACCTGACGAAGTGCGGCAGCCACGAGCTAACCAGCGGAGGTGATGTCTCTCTGCTGCAGGTCGCTCGAGGAAGACCCAGATATGGCGCCCAGATAAGCACACTGCACCCCACGGCTATGGCCGCCAATCTCCACCACTCCCTTCGCTCTACCTCCTACTCTATTACTCTAGTGCCGCACACTGAAATATAATGCAGCGCCTGGAAGGCTAGTGCCGCTCCAGCAGCGTGACGCCAAAACTGGCAAATGCCCAGATGTGCTGGTCCTGAGGGCTGGCACAGCTTTATTGTGATGGGCCTGGCTGGGCAGGCCTGCAATCAGGGGGCCAGATCGCAGGACCACGTCCTGGCCTGGTGGCCTAGTCAACTCGGCCAGCCTGGATCCCTACCGGACGTCCAGCCTGCTGATGCAGCAGGGTCCTCCTCATCACTACGGACGAACCCGGAAAAGGACCAGACAAACGACTCGGCAAAAAAATAAATGAATGAAGAAACAAATGCCGAGTCAAAAGAAACCGCACCATGAGACAGACAAACAAAGGTCCAGACAAAAGACTCAGCAAAAAAAATAAATGAATGAAAAAATAAACGCCGAGTCAAAACAAAACAAGGTGCGGGATGAGAAACGCGTGCCTGGCCAAAAATATGGTCGAGGCCTCTCGTGGCCCAAAATGGGCGCACGGCCTGGGCCCCTAACAATCGTCGGGCCCCAAGGGAGGGCCCGCCGGTGTGCAGGCCATTTTTGGTCCCGTTGCCCCGAGCCTCCATGTTTCTTGGAGACAGCCTCTCCTTATCTCAAGTGCGTTAGGTCATGTACTGCTGGTTTGACATTGACAAGGCATGATAGCCACTGAAAGAGCTTATTAAACAGCCAGTACTTCCTAGAGTCGTGCCCTTTAACGCGCCACGATTTTAGGAAACGTACGGGCTACTACAGGAGCGCCCAAATTCATCTGACTAGAAACGTTTCTACTCTATTTTTCTCTGCGGCCGATAGCGGGGCTGCAATCAGACTCGTTCTCAGACACACTTTTCATGCATGTAAACAGCAACGCAGCATACTGGCGACATGCGCCCACTCAAAACTCAGAGATATGGCTTTCAGATACGAGTTCACTCTCAATTGGCTATGGCGACTTCAGCGCCCAAACATCTCACTGTTCACATACACTGGATCACCCTGGATATCCCACACGCATCACTCTAACATTCGAGCACACACACACACTCACTACTAACTACAGCTATGGCAGCTATGGCTGCCTCTAACCTATCGCTATGCTAACTCCTCCTCTCTTGCCCACTGCGTCCTCCGGGCTCATCTGCAGACCTCCTTGCACAAGTCGCTGCCACAGCGCTTCCGCATGGCTCACGCAGGAATGAATGAATGGCTGGGCTCTGCCTCTTGATTCACACTTCAGAAACTCGTTGGTCTGCCCTTTGCCATCGGCCCTTGGTGCTTACAGTCCCCCTGTGGTACTTGCTGGACCGGACTGGGACTGGCTGGACCTTCCGTTGACTGACTGTGGACTCACCGCTATCCTACCGCCGTTGCACTGCTGTTGCACTGCGGTTTAGTCCACCACTTGCCTCACCACTTGACCACTTGCCCACTTGCCTACCTTCTAGAAGGTCTACAGCTAAGCTTCCAGAACTCACTAAGACTCCTACGCTATAGACCTACAGATCGAACCCCTGCTGTCTATGGACCTACGACAGGTCTACCAACTGCCTACGAATACACAGGTCACAGGTTCAATTCTCGGGGTCTACACAGATACTGTACATGGGTAGGGTGAGGTCTAGGTATCGAACCCTGGGTACTGCATCCGCTACTGCTAAAAGGTGAAAACCGTTTCAGGGCCAAGTACTGCTGGTTTAAGGGCATATTCACAGTGGGCTTTCTTCGACGTACGTAACTGTCAGTCAAACCAGCACAAGTACATATGCCCTAAGCAAAGAAGACATCTCAAATCTTGAAGCCAAAACACCTGCGAGATAATGCCATTGATTATGATGAGCAAATGTTCAACATCCTGTTAACAGTATGTTCACAACGGAGAGACCAAGTCTACTAACAGTCTAACAGTATGTTGGCGACAGAGAATAAGTTTTGGTTCCTTTCTAATGGCACACAATACAGAACAGCCCCGATTCTGAAATCGCATGCAGTGTTCTGCACCAGGATAGCAAAACGGCTGGTCCTTCGGGGCATCCTTAGAAATTGGGACGATACAGACAAGACTAGCATGCCCCCTACGCAATGATGACACATAAATCCAGAAATGGCCCAAATTAAGAAAGAGAAAGAGAAGAAAGAAGGATCAAGCGGGGCATCGGAGAGGGAGAGAGAGGAAACGAGCCTCGAGGAGAGAGAAAAGTGAAGACGGCAAGCTTGCAAAATCAAAACATCTTACCATCATAGCCAAGAAGGTACTTCTTGAGCTCCTGTGCGAGACAACTGAACAAGAATCTCCCCACATTTGCAGCTCTCACAGAATCTGAGTCCTGCCACAATTCCTACAACAATTCACAGACGACAAAATTAATATTTTTTTCCATTGCCCAAAGCAGACGACTATCGGTATTAAGGTACTCGTTATGCTAAAGCAGCTACACACTAAACTAGGATTCTTTTTTTTTTCTGTCTGAAGGGTACATACTACATACAGTTCCCGTCCCAAAATGCGCCTTCCACTTCCTAGAAAACGTTCCCTGACACCTGCTCCCTGTGTTCTTTTCTTCCCTTTTTTTTTTTTTTTTTGCTCCTTTTTTTTTCGCTCCTTTTTTTTTTTGCTCCTTTTTTTTTTTTTTTTATCCTTGCGAGGCTTGTGGTCTATATTTTTGTGGTAAAATGTAAAGACAACAGAACAGAAGGGTCCTGATACAAAATTGAAGGCTACTGATACCCTAACAAAATCGAAGGCTACTGTTACCTTGCATGCATGATGCTGCATGGAAAACCTCTAGCACCTCTCGACTGTCACAGACCTCTCAAGTGCCACGCACCTCTCACATGCCGCCACGCACCTCTCACATGCCACTCTCACAAGTTCCAAGCGTCCACACACTGTCTGCATGCCCCTGTACGTCGATTGACTGTGAATGCTACTACACTCTTCACCCTAATAGAACGCCAGGTCATTATCGCTGTGTCAGGACTGAAAGTTGGCCCAAATACTGCTGTAATGACCAGGGGCTCCATTCGGGTGAAGACGGTAGCAACATTGTCACGATGAGCACAGCACACATATCAACTTCTTAAACCGCCATTCCAACGGCGCCTGCACTGTACATTTTGCTTGTCTACAAATACCAGGCCAAAATCTTCAGTACCCAGGCCCGGTTGAGGTTCAGTGGGGGAGGGTTACCACAACTATTTTTCCTCCAAGCACTGTATAGAATTTAGGCTTGGGGAAATGCAACTTTTGGTTGATCAAAATAGGTCCGGATCCAGATGGAGGGGTGGTTTAACCACTCAACACGAGAAAGGCGCATGCAGAAAATTTGCTGGGGTGCATTCAGCAGGTAATGAAAGGGGTCAGATTGCACGCGGCGACATACCTCCGATGCCGACATGGTACTGATTATCAGCTCAGGCTGATCTGATGCCGACAGCGGGCTCTCCTGCTGACGCTTGACCAGCTGCTCAATGCTTCGGTGCAGGCAGACGAGTTCCGTCAAGAGTTCACTATCGGCTGTCTGACGAGTCAAGACAAAGTGCATCCATGTCCCCAGCAAGTGTCAAACGACAACCACAACGTCCAACAGAAGGGTCAAAATGGAAGAGAAAGCCAGGGGAAAGGCATGATGATGTTGACTGTATCTTGTCTTGTCCATCAATAGACAAACCTTAACAAACACCAGATCCTTCGAAAACTCTGGTTAATACATTCCCTGTCAATCAGCCAGTAGTGAGATTTTTGCGACAACTACTGACCTGCCAATTGGTGAAATCGACACATGTTTATCAGGAGCGGCCCGTACAGACCCTCAGTTTTCTCACTGAATTCCAGGAGAAGAGAGTCCTACAAGGTACCATGGAAAGTTGCATACAAGAGAAAAAGAAACCCATGACTGCCTCAAGTATCAATCCATGCAAAGAAGAAGAAGAAGAAGAAGAAGAAGAAGAAGAAAAAGAAGAAGAAGAAGAAGAAAACGAAGAAGAAGAAGAAGACGGGATGGAAAATGTGAAGAGAATGATGCTTCAGCAGCAGTTGGCCATAATGAACATCCCCATTGAATGTTCATTAGTTCGAACTGTGAGCATGTGTCACGGACATTTTCTTCTCGTAACAAGGACTGCATTTGAAGAGTCACTGACTCTCACAAATAGGTGCCGGGCACAGAACAGCAGCACCGAATTAGCTCCCCGCCTCAACAGTTGGTTTCCACAGACTGTTCATATCGAGTGAACTAATCAGGCTGCTCATCACATTAATGCTCCCCTTGTTAGCCCACCTTTTCTGTTTTTCTTTTCCCTGCTTGTGATTCTCCCTATCACAGACACAGAATAGTTCCTGGATAGCAGATCTTTAAGGAATTGTCCTCACTTTTAAAATCACACCGTGCTGTCTACACTTAACCTGCCGCCTGCTCTTGTCTTCCCTGTCCATTCACTATTCTAACAGTCGTCCGAATGAAGTTCAAGGGACAACATGCATCCAGTTCATCATGCCTCTAGTTTCCAAGACTGGCAAGCTTGCCCAAAACCGCACAACGGATGAATGACTACCCACTCAAAACAAAGTTCACAAACAAACAAACACCAGAAACCTTGAATCCCAAGACCCCTGACGATATGAGGACATTCTCCACTTACTATCATCATGCATAGACACACAGTTGTGTGCTCTGGACTGGGAAAGAAGGGATGGGAGTTATTTGCAACTACCCTTAAACCACTAGTACCTTTGCCGCTACAGAAATGAGGGAAAACGCCACCTCCCAAAGAATTCGGGCCGCGCCCAACGACGACTGCCATTGATAAATCTAATCGGCGGCCTTCGTTTCGTTTCGGCCTCCTGAAAGGTCGGAGGCCCGCTATTTTCCAAACCGACAAAGGTACTCGTGGTTTCTTTCTTCTTCCAAAAACCGTTGTGTGCTCTGTTAATGTGCTCGAACTCTTCCCTTTTTCACATAGATGATAGACCGGAAAACATTTGTCAATGCGTACTGCGATCACTAGTGCAGGGGTCATGCTAATCTTCTCTGTTGTTGCAATCTCAAAAGATGCCCCATAGGACAGTCATACTTTAGCCTGCAGTTTCGAATGTGGTTCCCTTGTCCGGGAAGATGACACACTTTCGTCTATGCGTACAAAATTACACAAGGGGAATGCTTGTCGAATACAACATGTCATGTTTTCAGACCGAGCACATTACCAAAACACTTTGATCTACCTGGCCCATGTGGCTGAATGGTACACACATGTTGCAATTAATAAACAGATCATCAGTTTGAAATGTGAATTCTAGTTGAATCAGATCAACAATGTTCAGGTTTAGGCACCTCTGAAGAAAAAAAAACTGGACGCAGAGCTCACAAAAGCACTCAGTGCTCACCTTCTTCATATCAAGCTCGATGAAGCCACCTTCTGGGAAATTCACAGTCAGCACCCCTTTCCCAGCCTCCGAATCCGGCTTATACTGTCCTCCGGCGCTTTCTGCCTGTCAACAAATTCCCATATTTTCATCCACATCCCCAAAACCAGAAATTACAACGCACCACTTCCAAACTCAGAAGACTTGACAGTGTTGTCACTCTCTTTGCTAGTACAGCTCCAAGCATACCACATCCTGCCACACTGCGATAGCACCATCCCCATTCATGCAGGTTTAGGGAACACTCACATCATGACTTCCCTGGATGCATCTGACAGAAGATACGGCCACCTTCATTAGCAAATGTCACGGTAGGAATACTCCTTGAGGCAACAACTAACCTCCCAAGTAGCCATCCAAAAGAAAGATTCACAGAATTCGGCAGATTCTACACAGTTTCGACTTTCAACAAACATAAATCTCTTCTCGGCCTCTTTTGGCTAACAAGATCAAGCGTAGTAGTATCTCTTCTGAACAGCTTAATATCTGATCCCTGCTCCATCGGACCATTCCAAAAAAAACAAAAAGAAAAAAAAAAGCAATGGCGACAATTGAAGATTCTTTTATATGTCATCTTAGATATATATGGGATGTCTGGCGTGCAGTCGTTGAGGCTTTACGTTCTTAGACTTCCTTCCCTGCTGAGTGTCCGCAACGACGCATTCATTATTGGATACCTGGCGGAGGTTTCGGCATATAGCCAGATTTGCCTTTAACATTAGACTGTGTAAGCGCCCGAGATAAGGCATCCTCCGCCCCAGATAAACTACCCACCATGCAAGGTTCTACGAAAACCAATTGTTTTGGCAGTTACGACACCTTTGGATGAAAAAGTGGTATTTCAAGCTTGGTGGTCGCTGACTGATATACCTTAATGATGGTCAGCTTAAATCATTAGACCATGAAATGGCTGCTTTTTGCAAGACAATCGATTTCCGTCTAACTTGCCTGCTTCCTCGTACATTTCCCATCATCATTGCCACAAACCTTTTTTTTTTTTCTCTTTTTTTGTCAGCGGTCGCTCCATCTATTGGTGGGGAGCATCACATGCTGGAAACCGGGTCCAGCATCCTGATTGCCACAAACCGAAAAGACCCGAAACCCCCATTTCCCACTTCAAGCAAGATAACTCACCACAGAAAGCAGCGCCTCATCCATACACTTAGCCCCACACTCGCTAGCGTCCTGACAGCCAACATGAAGCACTCTGACCTCTTCTCCAGCAGTTTTCGGTATTGCCGAGAGCAATCGAAGAAGGTGAGATCCCATTTCTTGTTGTGTGCCCTTATGTTCAGTCGACGCATCCACTACAAGATTTCGCCATTGAAAATTATCAATTCCAGCACTGCTGAAAGCAGTCCCATTTGCACTAAGCACGTCTGCACAGCACAAACAGCACACGATGATTTGAGGACCGTTGAGCTAACAATTACAGCGTAGTTACACTTGGCCTTCCTTGGCTGAATCTTGTCGTTTATTGACCAATTAGGTAAGAAACAAAAACAAAAAAGTCCAAGAGTATACCATACGGCTTCATGCCTCATGCACGTAGTCAGCATCAATGCACAACCGCTACATGAGCTTCATGCCAAGAATAATTGGGCAAAAACAGTTCGCATAACATGCTTTGACACTCATGTACACACCTCGTGCGAGGAAAAAGACGGACCAGCAAACTAACAAGTCTAATGGAGTGGAGGTGTGCATGTCCGCTTCTTTCAGGATGAGACAACTAACGCAACATCGCCAATCGTCTCCAAGGAGGTGAGGAAGACTGCACCATCCTTCATCCTTGCTGCTGATGTGGAGGGAGGATGGGCGCCATAATCAGACCTGCACACTCGACACGTCAGAGGATGTCAGAGGGGAATGCACAGTGCTGAGGTGGTGATAGACGGGGAGATGCCGGTAGAAGAAGTGGGCGAGAGGAGGTCCTTCCTGAGCAGACAATACCTGACGTCGCCAGGTAAGTTCAGGTAAGCTTCTCGTTCATCTCTCTCCAACTCACAGCCCTGATCCTCATCCTCCTCGCCCAACCTCAGAACCTAGTCAGTAGCTATCGTGGCGATGGCCAACCAGCATAGTCTCCTCCCTGGCTGGCGCCAATCAGCAGAGGGCGCCAGCAACACTCCAGCAACCTTGCTAAGCAACACTTGGACATGTGACAGCGCAAGGCAGAATGACCTCCATGGGGCCTGGTCAACTCTTTATAGGGTTGACTCGCGCCGACCAGCCTCCAGTCTCCTTGGGTCGATGGCCCAGATGAATCGGAAGTCAATGGCCTGGATGCAACGCAGTTCTCAATTCCCCTTGGGTCGACTCGTGCCGACCAGCCTCCAGTCTCCTTGAGTCGACGGCCCAGATGAATCGGAAGTCAATGGCCTGGATGCAACGCAGTTCTCAATTCCCCTTGTGTCCCACTTGGACTGGAATCTTCTGGATACCTGCAGACAGCCAATGATGTGCATCTGATCGACGGCTGTGGCTGACCAGCGGGATGACTTTGACTTTGGGCCTGATTTTCTCCCGTGATGGGTCCGACCGTTAACTTTCCAAAAGTCAACTGTCGCTCGTGGGGGTTCTGGGCGCAGTTTTAGACTCACACCAGGATACCCCATGACCGTAGGCCTTTTCTCAGACATTTTCCAGGCCTGGGACATGATCCCTTTTGACCCCGTTTCAGGCCTTTGACCAGAAGTGACGACCTTAGCCTGCGGCAGTGCGGATTTGAGGTGAGTTTATTACAATCACTTTCTTCTTTTCCAAAGGGGGTAACCCCCCCTCCAAGCATTTCCTTATTTGCAGAATAGAATAGCACTTCTTCTTTCCGGTAAAATATGCATTTTCTCTACAGATTCACAATCAGCATCCCGAAACATGACCATCTTCACCCAAATATAATGCCATGTCATTATACCTGCATATGGACTGAAAGTTGCCCCAAGTACAGCATTAATGACAAGGCCTTCTCTTCCGGTCAAGACGGTAGTCTGGTCAATCTACGGTATTATATATGATTAAGCCAAATCCAGGAAGAATGACACTATAATGAAGCATTGGGGGGAAACGAAAATACAAAAGGCAAGGAATAACAAGCTGGATGAAGGCAGTAGTAACTCACCCCGGGATGCACCACTGAGCAAGAGCGAGAAAACCGATTGAGGCCTCACAAACGGATCTGGACGAAGCAAATCATCAAGCTAGGCAAAAGACAACACCACGGCAGCACCACTCCCTCGCGATCCCCCAGAAATATGGAAAAGACGAAAACAGCACACACACACAAAAGTATTAGCCATGTGCCAAGGCCAGAATCATATGGAAGTCACCCTTCATCCGACCTACCCACCTCAAGCACCATGCACCACAGTGCCCTTCAGAGCCCTTCTTATCACACCCTTCATCCAACCAAATCTTGGACAATTTTCTGCACCCATAAACTGTAACCCCTATTTTTTTAACGGCAACCGGTGACTCGTGGAACGCAGCAGAGCATGCGCTGAAGAGAGGCAAAACAGAAATATGATGTTTGGACATACCCTGGCAATGGCCAGGGAGAAGAGAAGGGGTGGGTCAATGGGTACACACATTTCGGCTGATTGTGATGCACACCCGCTCTCTACCCCATAGCATGAGGAGAAGAGGATGGATTTCAAAAGCATGTTCGAGGTAAATTGGACCCAGCAACCTGGGTGACAGCAAGGACGCCCTAAATCAATCGCAGCTGCAGTAAGCCGGTCTGCAGCCTCTGACACAGAAAAACTCTGGGCATCAGCCAGAGCAGGCTGCCCCAGAAAGTTTCTCGGAGGAAGCCATTCTGGGTACCGGTGCGCTGTTGTGAACAACTGAGCCTGTGTCCAGAGAAGCTCCGGGCTGCATGCACTGCGACCCAGGTACCGCCTGCCTCCACACTATTACTGAAGGAGGCTGGTTCAGCAGTTGGGACATTTGAGCTGGGGAAATGCTGCGTGTAAAGCTGGTGCAGACCACCAACCTCCATAGCTGGGCAGCCATAGCTGGCTGCTGGAAAGTAGAGAAACTGGGTGCTCTCCGGGAAGTGTGTGTGGAACGGATGAAGCCTGGTATGGTGTGAGGAGGAGGAGGAGGAGAGAGGAGACTCACCGTGCATTCTTCTGTTGGGTGCTAATCAACATGTTGCACTGGTGAAGTAGAAAAGAGAGAGGCTAGTTTTAGGGCAAACTAGTTTTAGGGAAAATGCAATCACATTGGCCGGCCCATGGGAGAGAACACCGCAGAGCACATGAAGTTCATTGTTGTTCTGGTTTGGTGATGGCCGACTGATGGGGAAGAGAATCTTTATCGCGAGACTTGTACATGTCAATATTTTTAGAGTGTGTGATCATATCATTCACGGTGCCAGTCAAGGCTGATCAATGAGAACATAATATGCATGCTATTTGTGATTCTTCTTCACAGTTTCGTTGCTCATGCAAGTTTTTTTCCTGCAGGTCATCAGTTCTCCCCCACATTAGAGGTGGACCTTTCAGATTATCTGCCATTCCCACTTGGACCCCAGCAAACTTCACTACTTTCAGTTCGTTATGCTCATGTTAGCTACCGGGTGAAAGAAAACTCCAATGGTTTACTTGCCGCAATCGCTAATGAATGGAGTTCCATAATGACGAAGCTAACGCAGCACACAAACTCGGTGAAAAGGAATGATTTTTGGCTTTCTGAAGGGCATAAAAGTCGAGCAGCGCATTTTTTACGTATGACAGCTTTCCAGGGCAACCTTGGCAACAAGTGAAACCATGAAAGGGGAAACTCGCATGGTACCTTCTCAGCAGTGGCAGAGTCAATCGTAACCGGTGGCGAGACACCAAGAAGAACTGCCGTCGCAGCAGTAACTGTTCTTGCCGACCAGACGTCGACCTGTTGAAGAGAACACACAGCACAAGGAGGAGGACAGGACAGCCATTAACATTACATCAACTGGACAAAGATTGGATGAGAGAGCGTGGACAAGATCTACACCACATCAGCAGGAACACAGTATAAGAGTGCTGGAATATGTTTCTCGTAGCTGCTTTGATTAGTGTCTTTAGCAGAGAAATCCTCAGGCCTTGCAGCTCAGGCATCTGATGGGAAGCAGGAGGTGGCAACTACTTTGGAGTTGCAATTCCAAATTAAAGAAGCCAGCACACGTCGGAGTCCCCCTTGGGTGTGGGACCTAGCAATTACCGTTCAGAGTCTTGCTGACTGTTTGAAGAGGCCGGGGGGAGGCATGTAGGAAGGCTTTGCAGGAATACACAGGGGTAGAAAACGCATTTTCTGATTTGGTGAAAATTGTCATATCGTCTATGTACATGTGCCTGCCGAGCGCGTGCCTGGGCAGCCGAGCATGTGTATGTTGTGCCCGGGGGGCACAGAAAAACAGCCTAGGTACAAGATGAGAACCACATTGTAATAAACCACAAAATTGCACACTGAGATGTCTGTGTTTTTTCTGAGTTTTCCAGCTGTTCTGTGTGTTTGCTAAGATATCTGATGTCTGAGTCTGTTGTTCGTATTGCAGGTGCTGTTATCTGTGCGCTGTCTGCCTGTCTGAGTGCTGAGTGCGTGAGTGACCGGGTGTGATGGCCTGCATTATTGGTTTGGCACGCTCGAGCATGGTACTAACCCCTGACGCTGGGATTGCCATGATTGTGGGCTGCACAGCAGGTACCAGGCTGGTGTAGCTAGGCCAAAGTAGGCCAAGAGCAGGCAGTACCATGTAGGTAGGCAGAAGAAGACGCAATAGGACTTTGGGGTAGGCCAAGGAATTTCCTGAATCACAGTAAGCCTAGGGGAAACATGAGGAAGGTATCGGCTGTATACAGTCCAGAAAGGAGTCTAGGTTCAGGTCCTGCAGGCAGTGTGGTAGTCCGCAGGAACCAGTAGGGAAGGGCCTAGAGCCGGGTAGGCTCGAGGAAGGTGAATGGTGAATGAGAAGGGCGAAGAGCGAGAAATACCTTGGCTATGGTGGACCTCCACCTTCATTATCGTGGTTGGCAATGCACTCGGAAGGCCCCTAACAGGGTCCAAGTGCACTGGTACCTCGTCCCTGAGCGTGGGCATGGCAGAAGATGAGGACGAAAGGACATTGGGAGCATTTGTGTTGTCCTGTGAACACCTGAGGGCACCGCAGGTGCTCCGTCATAGCCAGCAGCCGTCCACTAGATAGTGAGAGGTGTATAGGAGAGCCAAGAGAGCCCATTCGGACATGCCAGCAGTCGGGGGCAGTCATGGAATACTTCGAACATTGATTCTGGCTTCTGCNGCCAGCAGTCGGGGGCAGTCATGGAATACTTCGAACATTGATTCTGGCTTCTGCATTAATTGTCGATGTTTCTTATTATTAATAAAGATGGAAGTGGAGGCGACGAGTGAGAAGTGGTGGAGGTGAGATGAGGGACACGAGGCTTTGCAATCAGCTCGTTATCATCTTCTTCTTCCTCCATTCTCTGTTCCCTTGTCTTATTCTCTTCCCATTCTCTTACATTTGATTAGCGGTTAAATGGCATTGTCTCTTTGTGGATTTTTGCAGGACTTTTGCATTAAAAACTGGCAGACTGGAACAATAACGACATGTTTTTTTGGGCGTGCATGCTGAAAGAAAGCAACCACAAAGCACATGAAAAGTGGCACTGTGCACGTATTATACCACCAGTACCTCGCCCAGCTAGTTTTCTCCGACACGGCCATTAACGCGCCGCATCAGACAGGGGTCCGGGCAGCGAACCACTGGCGGCCACAGCTAAAATGGTGGAAAAGGGGGAGAGGGGGGGGTGAAGGAGACTTTACGGGACTTCAATGATATCGGGGGGAATGTTTTCACAGAGGCCGTGCTACTGCCCAGAATGGATTGTACTACGAAATCCGGAAAGATTCTCAGTGTCGTTTTCTCCTTTTCTTTTGTTCCTTTCCTTTTCTTATAGCTCCCCGCCAGCTATGCAGGGCCGTTTAAATGATCTTCTGGAACTTCCAAGAATGCATCCATCCATTTTCAGGGCCAAACAGTGTCTCCTTTTTTTCTTCTTCTTCTTTTACTTTCTTGATGCTGAAAACAACGTGAGGGAGCTGAGATACCCTCATTGAGGGTATGCTCACACTTTGATGTTCTGAGAGTGTATCCAACTGCATTCACGACCCTAGCGTTCAGCATACCAGTCTGCCTGAGGCATGTCTGGGCGAGGTGCTGGTGGCTTAAATTCTAGTCGGCAATTACACCACTACTCCATCTGGACCTATTTTTTGACAAACCGAAAGTTGCATTTCCCCAAAATCTTCAGTGTCGGCCTGAGGAAAAACAACAGTGGTACCGAACCTATTTTGACGAACTGTAGATTTTGGAGCCCCGGTGCTTGTACGCAAGACAATGAACAGCGCAGGAGCCGTTGGAGTGGTGGTTTGGGCCTTCCATCACACTCACAGCAACCCCCCTCCACTTGCAGTTGCTTCCATCCGAAATAAACTACCGTCTTTGCCCGAATAGAACACCCGGTCATTATAGCGGTATCTGGTGCAACTTTGAGTCTAGATACAGTGATAATGACGGGGCATCGTATTCGGGTGAAGACGGTAGATGCCATTCCAGAGCAATCGAGAAGCAATTGCACCCATGCAATATGATATTGATCACGCACCCACCTTAGGAGGTCCGAATTGAGTGAGACATTTTTGTACTGTCGTCTTTTATAATAAGAATAAGAACTTTAAAAAATAATAAGAATAAGAATAAGAACTTACACAACTGTCATAACTTGAAATTACTTCCTGATCAAGAAGGTGGTGTTTTATACACAATCGGGTCATACACAGTCGTGGAGGCATCGAGGCAAACCAACCTCTGTCCGTGCAGCCGTATCCAGACCGGATCTGCTCCGAAAGAATTTTCCTCCGAGGTTGTCGACAAAGACAACCAACGCGTTATCCTGCATAATTTGTGGGCAAAGAAAAAGGACGTTAAGCTAAGTCAACAGCTTCACTGTTCCCCAGAGTCGAGGGTGCTCGACACCAATCCTTCGTTTCACATGATTCAACACAGCAACACAGTATGCCTCAACAACCTTTACCAGCATTTATCAGCAGACTATTGACCAGCATGCTACACAGAACAGCACTTACCATCAGCCAGCGGCCAGCTGTACCTCGGTCATTTACCAGCATCCTTTGATAACTGAAACATTTATTTTATTTTCAATCCTTAAAACATTGGCCATCTCAACATCCTAAGCACACAATTCACTTCACCCAAAAAGGGAGGCAGCCCCTCACCCTTGCCTGCCTGACTATTTTGATCACCGAACCTTTCAGGCAGCCCCTCATCCTTGCCTGCCTGACTATTTTGATCACCGAACCTTTCTTCCAGCCACCAGATCCCATCCAAAATATCCCACTGTGCTTATGCCCTAAGACACCATCCAAGGGCACAACGCTGTATCGCCACCAAGTGGCCATTTACCACATCCAGCTCGTCCAACCTTCATTTTTTTGTCCGGTACGGAGCGGCAACTGGTCGTCTGGTACAGAACAAGGCTCGTCTTGCACCAGGACGAGTCACTTTGGTGGCAAAACAGCATTGTACAATGCTTGTCCGTGATTGGCACCGGAAGCAGGCTGGGACACTCGTGTTTAATACTGGAAGGAGGATGGAGCCTTGAGTGTCCGTCTGGTACAGGAACGAACGAAGAACCATGTTTATTTTTCTGTTTTGTTTTTTTTTACCCATGGTCCTGCACCGGTATTTCCATTTGTCGTCCATCAGTCCAGTTGACAGTCTGGTTCAGGAAATCGGCCGATAACGAATCGGTCCAGAATCCATCCCTCGAGTACCAAAGCTGGGCCGGACCCCTGCCTGTCTGGGTCCAGGACAACTGTTTATCCCAGGCCCAAAGGAATGAACATGATTGCAAGCTGCATTTTATTTGTATTCAGCAAACCTGCCTCGTACCAACACCTGTCCCAGAACCGGTCTCCCATCTGGGGCCACTACAAACGCTTTGTCCTTCCTGCTACCATAACAATTATCGGTGGTCCTACCTCGCACCACGACAACTCATGGGCCCAGTACCAGGACAACCGTGAGTCGAGCCTTTACGACAGGTAAACGCTTGTGGACCTCACCGCACCAGAACGGGGCTTTGTGGCAGGAAAAAAAAACGCAACAGAAGCTTGCCTCTCTAGGACCAGGGCGATTAACGGACAGGCAAATGGTCCTTAAATGTCCTGTACCAAAACCCTTCCTGCCTTCCCTTACCAGGACCTTTCCTGTTTTCCTTTTACCGGTATTCGTCTCTGATGTGCCGTCGAAGGGCCCACAATTCGTAAGGGCCCACAAATTCGCAAGGGCCCACAATTCTTATTACTCAGTTCCTAATAATATATAGAGACCATTCCTCTAAGCCTGCAATCAGGTCTGTCCCTCTCTCTCCTTTTCCCTTCGCCCTTTGCATCACTTTCCCTCTACCAGCTTAGCGCCCTTCCTTCCACAACCAACCTACCTCTGTCCGCTACACTCCGCCTGCCCTGGTCTCCCAAGCCTGTACCATTCTCTCTCTCTCTCTCTCTCTCTCTCTCTCTCCTGTCTCTTATACACATCTAGATGTGTATAAGAGACAGGACTGATCTCCACAGTGGCTGGGTCAACTCTAT